GCACCACCACGCAGGGCCCCCTCTGCTTCTCCCCCAGGCTCCCAGCGTGGCCGGTGTTGGAGGAGAGAAGGTAACCCTGCCCCGGCCATGCCCCCCGGCCCTGCGCCGGCACCCCCCGGGCATGGCCGTGCGCTGGGGAGGGGGATTGCACAGGGCATTGACCCGAGGGGATGTTTGTGCTGGCCCCCAGGCCTGGCTGGCCCCAGCTGCAGTGGGGGGAAGGGTGGTGGTCTCGGGAGGCTGCATTCATCTCTGGGGTCTCCAGTGTATGAAGGACACGGAGCTGTTGGAACGAGTCCAGAGAAGGGCCACAAAGATGATCCGAGGGCTGGAGCACCTCTCCTATGAAGACAGACTGAGAGAGTTGGGGTTGTTCAGCCTGGAGAAGAGAAGGCTCCAAGAAGACCTTCCAGCAGCCTTCTGGTGCCTAAAGGGGCTACAAGAAAGCTGGAGAGGGGCTTTTTACAAGGACGTGTAGTGATAGGACAAGGGGCAATGGCTTTAAACTGAAAGAGGGGAGATTTCCATTAGATATAAGGAAGACATTTTGTATACTGAGGATAGTCAAGCACTGGCACAGGTTGCCCAGAGAAGTTGTGGATGCCCCATCCCTGGAAGCGTTCAAGGCCAGGCTGGATGAGGCTTTGAGCAACCTGGTCTAGTGGAAGGTGTCCCTGCTCATGGCAGGGGGTTGGAACTAGATGATCTGTAAGGTCCTTTCCAACCCAAACCATTCTATGGTTCTATGATGGTGCCATTTCATCTGCCCCAGGGTGACAGAGGCTTCCCAGGACCAGAAGGACCTCCTGGCCCCAAGGGCGACACAGGAGATAAAGGCGCCCGTGTGAGTACTGCCTGGAGATGGGGGGCACAGGGGACATGGCGCAGCCCCCCAGGCTCACAGTGCCCGTGCTGGTGCTTCAAGCTGCATCCCTTCATGTCTAGGGTACCCCTGGCCTCAGCATCCCGGGGCCGGCTGGCCCCAAAGGCGAGCAGGGCGATCGGGTAAGTCCGGGTGCACCCCAGGGACTGGGGCTGGCTGGGCTCTGTCCCAGTCCCTCTCCCAGCATGGGGCCACCTCTGTCCCTGGTGACAAGTACTCTCCATCCCCAACAACCAGGGAATCGTTGGCCTCACTGGCAGGAGCGGCCCGAAGGTAATGTCACCACAGGAGACATGGCCCCTCTGTCCATCTGTCTGTCCGTCCTTCCATCTGGGCTCTGGAGGGGCTGTCCCTGCAGGCTGTGCTGCGATGCCACTCCAGGGAGTGCAGAGTGCCGTGCTGAGCCCCAGCAGCCCCCGCGCTCC